TTACAGTGTAATCAGTTAGGGGATTCTGCAGACTGTTGAGGGTTCAGCCTCCTGACGAGTCGGTGAAACTCCGACGAAACAGTTTGCCACAGCCCCTCGTTTGTTGTCCTCTTCTCCCTCTCTGCCTACGGTTTACCGGGCAGCTCGTCGGAGTTTCACCGAACTCTGACAAAACAGTTTGTCGCAGTGCCTCGTTTGTTGTCCTCTTCTCCCTCTCTGCGTACGGTTTACCGATAACTCTTTTTGACACAGTCGGTGAAACTCCGATGAAACAGTTTGTCACAGCCTCTTGTTTGTTGTCCTCTTCTTCCTCTCTGCCTACGGTTTACCAGGCAGCTCTGTTTGACAATATATTTGACTATCAAAGAGAGCTGAAGGAGAAGAGGACAACAAACGAGGGGCTGTGACAAACTGTTTCGTTGGAGTTTATAATATATTGACGACATATATATAGGGTTCCGCCTCCTGATGAACCGGTGAAACTCTGAAGAAACAGTTTGTCACAGCCCCTCGTTTGTTGTCCTCTTCTCCCTCGCTACCTATGGTTTACCGGGCAGCTCTGTTTGAGGATATATACATTTTTTTTAAATTTAAAATCCTTAGATTTGAGCTCTCTTTCTGATTCTGTTTCTTCACCTTCTTCACTCAGTTCATATTTTACCCGCTCCTGTACGCATCCTCTTGCCCCCTTCTTCACGCCGCTTGTTTCTATTTCCTTTTCTTCCTCTTCCCCATTCCTTCCCTTCCCAGCATTCTACTCTTGTCATCAACATCTGCCTTTTCTTGTGTGTACACAGTACTACACACACACGGATGGTGATGTGTTCAAACTAGACAGTCTGCTACAATTGCAGGGTTCGTGCGAGTAGAGTCAACCACTTTTGGCGATCCATCAGTCAATGCATTCGGGCAGACTGTTTGGGTTCAACGTCCTGATGACTTGGTGAAAATCCGATGGAATGGTCTGTCACAGTCACCTTTCTTTGTGGAGTTGTGTTCAGCAAACACAAAACATGTACACACACACACACACACACACACACACACACGCACACAAAGACACACACACACACACACACACACACACACACACACACACACAC